AAGCGCTCCGTGTTCGCGGCGCTAGACGCGGGCCGCGGCAAGGCCTCCTCCCAGGAGAGCATCAACAACCGGCCCAACAACCTGCGCCTCCGCGGGCCCGAGCCGCTGCACAAGCACGCGCAGGGGGCCTCCGAGGACAACATCATCAACAAGTTCGGGTCCAGCGCCAAGCTCACCAAGAGGAAAAACAAGGACGCCAAGAAGGCCTTGCCCGAGGACGTGCAGAAGATCTACAAGACCTTCCGCAACTACTCCCTGGACGAGGAGAAGAGAGAGGAGGAGACGGAGAAGATGTGCAACTCGGACCACTCCAGCACGGCCATGCTGACCCACTGCGCGCAGCCGCCCGCCGGGGCGGAGAACGGCATGGTCCCCGCGGACACCAAAGACAGGGAACACGAGAACAATGCGTTGCTGGAAGGCAGGAGCTAAAGGTTCCGGGACACCGGGCTCGAGGAAGCGTTGTGTGTTTTTTATATTCACCCCGAGACACGTGCCTTAAACAGACTTCTCCTTAGTCCAAAATTACATAGCATTGGAGAATATATTTCACTGTGCCATAAAGGACTGAGGAAGTTTGCTCTGCCAAAAGGGATCAAAGAACAAGGACTCCGCTTCTGATGAGCGACCGCTGGACGCCCGGGGAGCATTTGCACGGGTCAGAGGTTCACGGCCACCAAGTGTCAAGGCCGACTGGCCGGTGGTGCTGTATCCCTGGGCAGCGCCGCCCTGGAGGGCACATAGACAAGGGCAGCTATTCCCTAGACCAGCCTTCTGAGAGAAGCAGGTGTGTCTTTTACACGGAGTCTCACTTCCTGAGCCTACCGTCCGTGATGTGTGCACACCCAGAAGGGGACCGGATTGGGGGCGACCTGGGACCGGTAAGGAGGGTTTGAGTTGACATTTGGGCGTGTTGCTCTGAGCTTGAATTCTGATCCAAGCCACGCAGAGCATCCCTAGCCCTTCTCAGCTCCAATGAGTGCGTGCGGGGCCTGAGAGCTCCCGGAATTTGTTGGAAGCGGATCAGAGCACACGTATTCAAAGGTGCAGTTGCTTTCCTCATCACAAAAGAAGAAAAATAATCACAAACATCACACTGTGGATATCACCTCAACCAAGGCCAGAAGCCTACTGAACTTGGTCTTTCTCACGGGGGTAGGTAGTCCAAACGGACTGGCAGGCCTTGGTGAAACTTCAACCTCAACCGCTGCGTGGTTACAGGCAAAGAATCATGCATTTTCCTCAGTGGGTGCAATGGTGAAATAAACTGGTTTTGAAATGTTCACGTTCACTTTTCTAGTGGAACTTCGGTTGTAACCTGTTTTGATAAGAGGGGGGAGAAAGTACCAAAACTAATTGCCTTGCATGATGCCAGCGGCTTGCTGTTCTGTCTAGCTGATCCTAAATTTTTATAAAAATAGGCATCCTGCATGTCTGAGACACACCAAGGGGGACCATGGCATCATTCCATCTCAGGGCTTTTTGTCCCTTTGGGTGTCTTAGGGTAGACATAGTTACAAGAGCCAATCTTGCTATCTCCAAACAGGAGGAAAACTAACCCCTCAACCAACCCTTGTACAAGAAAACTGAGTCGTTTTTGTTTGCAGTTTAAGTGCCATTAATGCCATTTTAAAAAATAATACTTAAAAGAAGTATTTCAAATATTTTGCCTTTACGTTTGGGCATTCCTTTATTTTGAAAGCATTCCTTTTCCTTGCTCGTTTCTTTATCCAGTACCTGCTATTGCAACACCCATTGGAACACAAAGGTGATTGTTTCAAGGCAAACAGTAACCAACACGCGATACATGGTTGCTCGGTGAGGCGAGAACCGCAGTGAAGGAAAGTGGGGGGAATGGCTAGTCATATGTTTTGAGAGGAAGACTTTAAATGGATTTTTCCCTGAAAGGGAAAAATATGTACTAGGCCAACCAACCCGTGTGAGCCTCAGCCTTTTCCCTAATTGGCTGGTCCTTGGACTGGTTCAGACTTAGCTACTTGGGCCACACACAAGCATTGGGACCTGGATGGTCATGGGCCTCCGCTGCTCGGTGCCGCCTTTGGCGGGGGGGGGGGGGGGGGGGAGCATGACTATCACACAGGTGGATTTATCAAAAGATCCCAGAACTAGCAGAGACTTCCAGGGAAAATGATACCCACCCCATCCTTGACCCCTGGTACCATGAGAGACAGCTCTCCCTTGCCTGGAGCACAGGCAGCACCCCCTCCCCTGCCAAACTTGGAGGCTCTAAAGTTGGGCATTGCTCTGGGGAAGCAGCCAGGTAAGATCAACCTTGATGAGGCCCTTCCTGTCCGAGGCAGGCGTGGGCTAGTGCCTCTGGGGGGCTGGAGCAGCGGCTCGCTGGTGACATCCTGTGTCCCCGCAGCAATAAACAGGCGCTTGGGAAGCGACGCTTGTCCGGGTGTGGGCAATGGTTTCTTACCACGGGTCATGGCAGCCTGAAGAGATGTGTTTTAAGAAATTGGTAGAAAGCTGGGACTTTCTCATTCTGTCAAGTTAAAAGCTTCCTGATCCAACTGTTCATGGATGTCATTCATTTGGGTATCCACCCTCTATGACTTGGTACTTTCTTTAGAGTGGTGTGATGAAATTCTACACCTGACAGCCAAATCTGGCAAAGAGGCTTCCCTGTCATTTATCCAGTGCAGCGGTTCTCAACCTGTGGGTCGCAACCCCTTTGGCGGTCGAACGACCCTTTCACAGGGGTCGCCTAAGACCATCCTACATATCAGATATTTACATTATGATTCATAACAGTAGCAACATTACAGTTATGAAGTAGCAACGAAAATAATTTTATGGTTGGGTCACAACATGAAGAACTGTATTTAAAGGGCCAGAAGGTTGAGAACCACTGATCCAGTGGCTGCCATGGGCCGGGCATTAGATTAGGCACTTTAAAGACATTGAACCATCCCAATATCATAGCCACACGCTGTGGGAAGTGTTTGGAAACCCCTTGTAGAGATGAGGACACGGAGGCTCAGAGAGGCTAAGTAACTTACCCAATGGCACACAGCAAGAAAGTGGTAGAGCTGCTATTCAAAGCCTGTCTGACCAAAGTCTGCTTTCGACTTTGCTACAATGCACCCTTGTGTGTGTGTGTTTGTGTGTGTGCATGTGTGTGTTCTGTGCGTGTATGTCTTTATAGTTTCATGGACACAGCACACAGAGGTGGGGAGAGCTCTACTACCAAGAGCATACATGGTCTTTGTGTAAAAATGGCCGCAAGTGTTGGCCTTGCAGAGTGATTGTACATTCTTTTGGCTTTGATTGTGGGAGTCCTGTGTGTGGCACCCTTTCTGTATTGTTAAAAATGCCCTTTGAAAGCACTCTTTTGCACTTTACTCACTTACCTGGCAGAAACTCTGCACCCAGCAGGAATAAACAAGTCACAGCACCAAAGTGCACACTTGACCAAATGGAAGAGGTGATGGTGTGTGCATGGACGCTTCCCCAGGTGCGTAAAATCACAGTAGTATAAAGGGATTGCAATGGCCCTTGACTGAGAGTGGGAACATCCCCCATGTATGTAACCCTCCCCCTGAGGACAAATGAGGCCAAAACCCTGATGAACAAAATTCAAGACGAGCCCTCCTCTAGGGAGCTGGAACTAAACACATGTGGGCAAAGTGCTTGACAAACTATAATGTGGTCTCCAAAGGAGACGCCGAGAAGGAATAGGAAACTGGACTCCTCTTCGTGGGGGGTGGCCAGTTATTTTAAGTTGCTTGAATGTTACTTTTCAAAGGTGGGGTCAAATAGCACGTAGAAAACATGTGGATAAGGCAAAGCTGCTACAAAGTCTTAACGCCCATCAGCACAGCCCTGCCCTTCCAACCGCCACCCCACACCCCACTGTAAACCTGGAATAGACGTGTTGACTCTGCACACAGAAAGGGCACCTGTTCGGGGTCTTTAGCCGGCAGTGTCTTTTGCTTCACCTGGTAATTAGGTCCCGACTTTTTCTTCCAAAACACATCTGGAGGTTTATTGGTGAGAGCCAAGGGGTAATTTGAAGAGACTGAAGCTCAATACGCAGTCCTAACCCAATTGGGGCTCCAGAAATTTATCACTTTGGGGGTCAGGCCTCAGTGTGTGTGTAGGCAGGGGTGTCCCTGGCCTACAGTTAAGGTGAGTGGGACTATCTGGTTGTGCTCTACTGGTCCCAGCCTGGGATTGTGGGGAACCCTATCCCCTTGCCTACATTTCTGTTACCTCATCAGCACATCTGGGGAATTGAACAAAGATCACTGTCAAGGTCCCTTTTAGTTCCGCAGTTCTCTGACCAACAGTCCCTGGTCTACAACCTAAACGTCTTAAGCATGCGTATTAGCTGGATTTGTGAACACTGACTAATGGCTAACATGAGAGCTTACTCTCCTGCTCTTCGGGATTCGTGTTCTGGGTGATTGATGGAGACCAGATGCATCTGAGAGCCTGCTGTCCAAATTAGGAGTGTGCCCTGTTGTAGGCTCAGTCTACGGCACACTGTCACCTGGAGGGCTCATGCTATGCGGGCATTTTTTGCATGGTGTTAAGACTATTTGAAGAATTTTAAGCTGTTGCTATTTGCAGTCAATTGTAGTCAAGGTTCCCCTTGGTTGCTTTAGGAATTCATTTACTATAGACATCTCTCGCTCAAACACACACATGTACACACACATGTGCATGCACACACACACACACACACACACACAGGAAATGGCCCCCATTTCACACTGAACGCCCCATTGTGCTAGACATTAGCAAACCACCCCTTGCCTCTCTCTGAGATGATATCATTTCCTGGCTGAGTCCATGCCGTTCATCTATCTGTGGGATTGGCTTTGGGGAGAAGTGAGAGTGTGGCCAGCATGTGGGCAGGGCGGGTGTTTACTCACTGGACAGGGTAAGAATGTAGACCATCCAGTGGACGCCACGGTGTCCGAACCATAGGGAAGGCCTAGGAAAGCAAACAAGCCTGCAGAGACTCTGAAGAAAGAGAGAAGAAAAAGCCAGTCCTGCATTTCACGCCCCTGCGTTCCGCATCCCGCTCACGTCTCCAGGGGGGGTCACGCCTTCTCACAGTGAGGGTGCAATTGTGTGCAAAGCAGCCGCTGCGTGAGCAGAGGGAGTTTCTGGGGGTATAAGAGCGAGTTAGTCACGGCCTTAAAAAAACACGAACAGTAACTCTCAGAAGCAAAGGGGACTTTACTTCGGCATGTAGGCTCGGTTAATTCTGCAGAAGGAAACTTGGCAGCAGCGGGCCCGTGGCGTGGCCGTCCAGAAAGCCATGCCCTCTGTCCCGGCACCATGAACCAGCTGCCCCGGACCTCACCCACAGGTCCCCCCTCCACGTGAACCTCAGTTCTTCCCCCTCCACCCCAGGGCGGGCCCCAAGTCACCTGACATCAACACAGCGGCATGGAGGAGAAATGAGAGGTGTCTGATTTAACTGAGCATCACCATTATCACAGGTGCCTGAGAGATTTGGAATCTGCTTTCTGTTCTCAGTTCTTACGAGAAAAATCTCAAGTAGTTCCCTGTGCTTTAAAAAAAAAATCCTTGCAAGGATTCCCGCTCCATCGCAGACCTGTGCTGTAGCAGGTAATTGACAAACCTCTCCTTTGGGGTCAGGGCGCCCAAGCTTGAAGGGAGAAGAGATATGCAAACCAACCCACATGCCAGCCTCAGGCCTCTTTCCCGTCCCAGAGTCACAGGCAGGGGACCCGGTGATGACGAAGGTGACAACGATAAACCCATGAGTGGAGGTGTCTCGCCTATTTTTCTCTCTAGGATTTCATGGTGCTTTAAAAACAAAAAAGGCATTTTACAGAAAATAAGGTGGGGTGGGGGGAGGAGGGAATTTCGTAATGTTCTTAGGAAAAGTACAAAAGCACATTTGCTTGTGACATTTCAATACGCCGTGCTGCTACTGTCTTTATTTGATGATGTAATTTTTTTTTTTCAATGATGGAGAAAATTGCAACAAAGACCTTCTGGAAGATCCAATCCAATGTCTCTCCTGTTTTCCTTTCTTTTGTGGGGGCCGAGTGCGGGTGATAGCGGATGGGTTGGACTCTGCACTCGGGACCAATCCCCTCCCCCTCCTGGGGACAGGCTTCTAGCCTGGCTGGGCACTCACACGTGTTCATTGGGCAGAGCCTACGGAAATTCACGATCTTGCAGGCACAGGAGCCCGCCACAACCCAGTAAGAGCACCTTAAAACAACCCCGTATTGTAGTTACTTGCACCTCCTCCACAGTTTTATTTGATCCTGATTGGATGTCCCTGGAGGTTGGACAGCACGGTGTCACACCATCTAGGCGAAACACTAAATTTGGACATTGTGACAAGCCTGCCATTGTGACAATGTAAAATGAACGGCCCCCGGGTGCCCACATTCCCAAGCTGTATTTGGTTTTGCCCTCTGCCGTGCGTCCACCAGCCCTGGGCTTGGAGTAATGCGTCATACAGAGAAAATGCCCACCATTTTTGAGCACCTACTACGTATGAGGCTCTGTGCTAGGCAGTTTACAGACAAGTCTGTAAAGTTAAGTCTCCCAAGTGAGGCAAGTTGCGCTTCTTCACTTTGTGGATGAAGACTCTGAGGCTTCGAGGGAATCAGAAGTGTCCAACCCCAGCAAATCAGCTCCAAAG